CAATTACAATTACATACATGTAAAATCCTTTCGACATCCAATTTCCCGATTAAATTCTGGGTATGATTTTAGTCGAAACCCAAATGATTTAATAACTATGATTCTATTTCATGTTTAGTAATTCGTGTATGAATCTCCATTCATCCCGCCTTGGCCAAGGACTTTGAATTACTAATCACGAAACACATAGAAAATTCACTTATCTTCATAAAAGTTGAATCCTTTGTTGGCCACTAACAAACTTCCATACATATTAACATAATACCCAAAATATCCCTTTATACGATTGTGCTAGCAACCAAAAGGATAAATCAAAGTAGAATGTAATATGCACAAAGTTACCATTGTGCCTCAAGTCTAAGGATCAATCATGTACTATTGTAACGTGAAAATACTTATTCAACAAGACAATTCTTTCATTAAGTATTTTCATACGGTCATGTTCAGTGAACTTGTTCTCTAACAAGCACCCACATATATGTACTTGCGTCATACGCTGATGTTGATGGAATGCAACATTCTTATCCGATAAGCATACATACTATGTGCAAGTCTTTTCTGGATTATTCGATATCCCTATCTCGAAACATCCAACGACTTGGAACTGTATTAAAATCACGACTTTCAAGGTATGTTCCATGATTACCATCTCTATGCGCAACCATACCTTATAACCATATGTGATCTAGGGATTTTATCTTAAGTGCAATTATATGATAAATGCTTACTCTTAAGATAAAGTAATGCCTTTTAATTAATATAATTCCAATAGATTGTATTTACAAGTAGAATACTTCCAATCAAATTGGAACGCCGATTATACTACTCTAACACATACACCAAGTTGGTCTCCTTGAAATTGGCCGGCAAAGGAGCGGCGAGGATCTCCCTAGCAAAAGGATGCCCTCGAGCCCTCCTCTCTGGCCTTCCATCAACTTTGTCTTGCAACTGGCGCAACTGCTCCGCCATCCTCTCCATCGCACGATCTCTCGCAACTCCTCCTTCTCCATAGCTGGACACATCCTCATCTTGGTTTCCCGTTGTCGTTGCCGGCGCAGTGGTGGCGTGCGATGTGTGGCTTGCGACCTGCTGCACCGCCTGCGCCGCCGCGGCCGCTGCTATCCTCTGCATCTCCTCCCGGGTCATCGTAACCACTTGTTGACCAGGGGCCTGTCCAGCTACTGGAGTTGGAGCTCCACCTTGTATCGCCACGTCTCCAGGTTGGACCACCACCGGGTTGTGAGGTGGTGGGGGCGGCATCGCCGTCATCGCTGCTGCTCGTGCCTCCTGGGCGCGACTGGAACCAGCGTCTCCTTCGAGGTTTGTCGCAGTCGCTCCCACACCGTGCGGGATCAGAGTAGGAGTGACCGGAGTCTGAGATGGGCCAGAGAAACCCAGAGGAGGGCCGTGCCCCAATGGCCTGGTCGTCGTCCAAGCTTCGTCGAACGTTGACTGCAAGTTTTTAGGAATTCCGTCCGCCATAGCTGAGCTTCAAACACAACTTTTTGAATAAAGAATCCCCACAGACGGCACCAATAATGCAAGTGTAAGCGTCCGGGTCTGGTTTGGAGTAGATCGGTTCTTGTCCTTGCCGGTAGAACGACGGAAACCTACAAATAACTCTCACATCGGGGGTCGGGTCCGGTGAAGAGCCTCCGATGCTTAAGTCAGTATGTGTATGAGTATATCGGAATTTGGAGAATGAATAGAATGTCTTAAGGAAGAAAGGCTCATCCCCTTTTTATAGGGGTGAGATACCTGCCCTAATAACTGCCCGGATAAGGA